ATGTACAACGTTTCGACATGGTTTTGTCATCATCAGGTACTTGTCGAAACGTTGTACATTTGCTGTAATGTTAAACTTATATTAAAGTTTTTCTTCATTACCCATTTAAGCCGTCTCCAGCCATTATTAGTCTTAAAGTGGGTTCCTCGTCAATCGAATTTGAATCTTTATATATATATTTCACAACAGCTGAGTTAAGTGTGAAAATTTAGAACAATTTTAGATGTAAAGAGCTTTGTGAGTTGTTAAGGGTAGGACAGTCCTTGGCTGTAAGTAGACTTTCTAATGTAGAGGTCAAGGTCTGAAGATCTTGTGGTGATGATAGAGAAATCATTAAATAAAATATTGTGACTTGTGGTTTCAGAATGTGAATGAATGGATGAGTGGCTGGGTTTAAGTAGTGGATGGTTGATTTTGTTAGATACTCCTAAATGTTCACATACTCTAGTTTTTAAGTGGCATTTCATTTTGCCAAGGTACATGACCTTACAGTCAGTACACATATATTTATACAAAAGTCATGAATGTAGAACTGTAGGTACTTGATCTTTGTACTTAAGTAAGTGTTTAAAGCTTAGAATAGTATACAGACCTATCCTCAGCATATTTTACTCAATTTTTAATTTCAAATGATTTGCAGTGGTGATAGTGCTACCTAATGTAATAGAAAAACAATGTTTCAAGTTGAAGCATGTAAGAATACATCTGAAACTGTTTTTCTCAACTACTGTACATGTGAGCTGTTCAAAATTTCTTACTTATTAAAAATCTGATTCAGGAATGTTTTATGTAACCACACAAACACATATACCTTTCCTTACTCTATACTGAGTGTATTGCAGTGTAATTTAGGTGAGTAAGTTAAAATCTTCAATTCCTGACATTTTATATAGATATGTTTGACATTTTTAGATGGTTATATGAATGTTAACATTTTCCTAAGTTGACATAAAATGTAGTCATAAAATGATGCATTCTGAATCACCAGAATTACGAAGAGAAAATAAGCAACACCAAATTAGACAAACCTTCTCCTCCACCTGAAAAAGCCACAAAAGGAATGATGGAATTGTGTATGCCTTACTCAACTAAAGGAACAGTACTCATCTGGTCTAGAATTATGAACATTCATCCTCACTCCCCAGCCAAGCAGGCAAGGAACCTTCCACTTGCCCCTGGAATTATGCTGAGCATCAAATTTGAGCCAGTGTTAGAGTAGGCTCCCATGTAGGCTGGTGATGCTCCTACCAACATCTGGGAAAAATCATCCAGTGACCCAGCCTGGAGGGCTCCAAATTTCACCCTCTTCTCTAAGAGTGGAGGATTTCACACTAACACCCTCTGTCCACCACCCCAGTGACTGGAAACTG